TACATGGGAAGGGCAAAAGTTTTTGAGAAAGCTGCAAAGATTGAAAGGGGAAATAAAAGAATGGAACAGGGTGAAGTTTGGAAGACTAGAAGAGAAAAAAGGCAGTTTGATTACACAAATTGAGGAAATTGACAGGAAAGAACCCAAGGTGTGATAGAAGATCATGATAGAGAATGAAGATGGTCTCTGAAGAAGGAATTAGAGGATACCTTGTTAAGAAAGGAGATTAGTTGGAAGCAAAAATCAAGAGAGAGATGGATTAAAGAAGGTGATGGCAATACTAAGTAATTTCATGCTTTAGCAAATGGTAGAAAAAGGAAGAACTCAATTTCTTCTTTAGTAGTGGGGGGACTGAAATTACAAATCAAGAAGAAATTGCTAAAACCTTTGTTGACCATTTCAAATCAATATTTGGTAGGCCAATCATAGAGAGATGGGGTTTGGGAGGATTGGAATGAGGAAGCTTGGAAGAGAATCAAGTGGAAGCCTTGGAGAAGAGGTTTGAGGAAATTGAAGTTGAGGAAGCCATTTTCACTATGGATAGATCTAAGGCTCCTGGGCCTGACAGTTTCACCATGGCCTTCTATCAAGATTGTTTGGAGATAATCAAGAATGATTTGATGAAAGTGTTCAGAGAATTCCATAGAAGGGGAGTAATTAGTCCAAGGATGAACTCAACTTTCTTAGCTTTGATCCCAAAGAAGCAAGGTGTCACCCAGCCAGGAGACTTCGAACCTATAAGCTTAATGACTAGTATTTGTAAGGTAATTACCAAGGTCCCTTCTCTGAGTCTTAAAAAGGTGCTCTCTTCTCTCATCTCCCAATACCAAGGGGCCTTCATTCAAGATAGGCAAATTATTGATCAAATTCTAATTGCAAGTGAGTGTGTGGAGGCTCAAAAAATTGTTAGAGGAAGGAAGTAGCAATTAAGTTGGACCTGGAGAAAGCCTATGATCTTATGGATTGGGAATTTTTTATCACTATAATGAGAAGGTGTGGTTTTGGAGACTTATGGTGTAAGTGGATCAAAGGATGTATGCAAACAAGTCACTATTCAGTTCTAGTGAATGGCACTGCAGTTGATTTCACTGAAGGGACTAAAGGTCTTAGACAAGGAGATCCACTATCTCCCTTTCTTTTTACTTTGGTAGCTAAGGTCTTGAGTAAACTGATTTTAAAGGCTAACTCTATGCAACTGATCAAAGGCTGGTCAGTCGAGAGAGAGAATTATGGTCTCACATTTGTAGTTTGCAGATGATACCTTGATTTTCTGTGAAGGGGAGAACAGTGAAGATGTGGAAAATCTGAAATTAGTTGTGAACTTTTTTGAAAGGATCTCCAACTTGAGAACCAACTGGTCTAAGAGTCTAGTGGTTGGCATCAATTTGGAAGGGAGTGAGTTGAGAGATTTGGATGTATTGTTGGGTTGTGAGACTGGAGATTGGCCTTTGTGTTATCTGGGATTGCCCCTTGGTGGAAACCCTCGTTCGGTAAGTTTTTGGAACTCAGTAGTAGAAAGGTTTGAAAAAAGATTGACAAGTTGGAAGAGAAATTATATTTCTTTGGGAAGGAGAATCACATTGATCAAATCCACCTTGGCGAATCTTCCAGTCTACTACATGTCGGTTTTTAGAATGCCCCAAGCTGTGATAAGAAGAATTGAGAAAATTATGAGGGACTTTTTGCGGGAGCCTGGGGAAGGGAAAAAAGATCATCTGATTAGGTGGGAAAAGGTGAACCAGTTGAAAGGTGAAGAAGGTTTGGGAATTGGAAATGTAAAACTGAAGAATGCGGCTCTAGTAAGTAAATGGCATTGGAGGTTTCCCAAAGAAAATGAGAAATTGTGGACTAAAGTTATTTCAAGAATCCAAGGGCAATCAAGCAATGGTTGGGATGCGAGCAGCTGCACCCTAGAAGGCCATCCATGATATTCTTCCTTTGTTTCTTCCCCATATAAGGTATTACTTGGCTTTGGGTCAGAAAATCAGATTCTGGGAGGACATCTGGATTGGGGACTCCCCCTCGTCAAAGGTCTTCCCTTCCCTCTTTGCTCTTTCCAGACTCAAGGGTAAACCTATTAGTGATTTTATCAGCTCTCCCTCTTCCTCTTCAAACTTAAGCTGGAATTTGGGTTTTACTAGAAATCAAAGGGAATCTGAAATTTCTAATGTCTCTACCTTGGTTGACTTGTTGAATTCAATAGTTTTGGGGGATAATGTTTCAGATTCTAGAGTCTAGGCCCTCAATCAGTCAGGTTCTTTTTTCTTGCAAATCCTTCTTGAACTCTCTTGTTGCCTCTCCATCCTCTCCTTCTTTCCCTGTTAAGGAGATTTGGTCTCGATCCATCCCTCCTAAAGTCAATGCTTTCTGTTGGGAAGTTTTCCGTGGTTCCATCAACATCTGTGACTTGCTTCAAAGAAAAAGGCCAAAGTGGTGCTTGTCCCCAAACTGGTGCTCCTTATGTAAGCTGAATGGTGAGACTGATTTTCACCTCTTTATCTCTTGTTCTTTTGCTAACTTTGTTTGGGAGTGATTTTCCTCTCTATTTGGTTACAGCTGGAATCCTCTTGCTAATCTAGAAGATCTCTTTAGCTCCAACATATTCAGGTATTCTAAAAGGAGAGGCAAAGTAATGGGAAAATGCATTAGAGTAGCAATGGCTTGGACAATCAGAGAGGAAATATGAGGATATTTGGTGATAAAGACAGAGGTAGAGATGCTGTGATTAAAGTGATAGCCATAAAGGGTGGCACATTGGGTGAAAACTTTGAAAATATTTGCAGATTTTAAGACAGAAGACTTCTTCAAATCATGGGGGAACAATTGCAAACATTGCTTCTAGAAGACCTATTGTATCTGAATTTTGGTCCCCTCCAAATGTTGGGTGGAAGAAACTAGACTTTGATGGTAGCTGTTTGGGAAACCCTGGCCCATCAGGCATTAGTGGGGTAATAAGGGAGAATGGAAATATCATTGCCATGTTCTCAGGCCCTATCCAGCATGGTGATGTGGTGAATTCAGAACTGAAGGCAGCAGTATTTGGTATTGAGAAAGCTAAAGAATTGGGGATAAACTGGTTGGTTATTGAAGGGGACTCAAAAGTTGTTGCAAACTGACTGAAAAAAGAGGAAGGAGCAATCTGTAGATTAAGAAATGAGTTCAGCCGCTTTAAGCAGGCTTCTAAAGATATGGAAATTCACATAAGATGGATTAGGAGATCAGCTAACAGCTAATAGCATAGCTCATGGTCTAGCTAAGCAAGGAGTTCAAAGGCAATCTATGTTCAGAGCTATATTATAGCTAGTGGGATTTCCTTTGGGTCCGTTGGGGCTTGTCTGTAACTAATGAATTTCTTTGTTGGGTAAAGCTTGGGTCTGTATGGTAATTAGTGGGGTTTATGTGGACTTTGTCTACCCACAACTTCTTGTTGTACACATTCTATTAATTTAATGAATCTTTTCTGTGTTGCTGATCAAAAATAAATAAATAGATAAAATGGAGACCGCATCATTTTGATTTCTTGTTTACTCCTCCCAAACAAATAATCTTCGTCCCACTTCCATTCTCTTTCATACAAAGTGGGGACCATATCATTTTATTTCCCATTTCACTTCTCACAATATATATACAGAGTCAAATCTGAAGCAAAAGTAAATTATAATTTACAGTTAGCCCATATGCAGTTCCATTCATCTACACCAGTGCAAATGAAATTTACATTGCAAATAAAGGGACCCAATGCACACAATTAAAAAGAAAAGAGATGGAAAGCCCCAAGTTTTTTATGTCTTTTTTTTTTACGAATGCCCCAAGTTTTTTATGTCAGTCTGTTGTCTATTATACCTACTAAGATTCTGCTTTTAACTTGGACTGATTCCTCCTGTTTTGCTTGTTCATTAATATTAGGCTGGAGAACTGGAGGGATCTAGTCTTACTTACGGTTTTTAACTTACACAATCCAATTTATTCCTATTGGGAAAAAAAATCAATGGCACTAATTATTTCTATAGTTTTTAACTTTCTCTAATTGAATTATTCCCATTGTAGTAACACTGGGATTTTACAGTGTCTCCATGAGTTTCTACAAATTCCCATGAACCACTTCTGCAGACAGAAAATATGCCAAAATCAAATTTTAATCCTTGATCCTACCACACTTCATGAATTTTCAATCTTTATTCACTTCTATAGCCAGACTAGTAGCACATTTCCCTTGCTATTTGTTAATAGGTAAACATTTCCCTTGTCATTCAACAAGGGTTTCTTGGTTGAGGTTTTTAAACAAAAACAAGCATAGGAGGCTTTTATAGGTCAGAGTTGGATAAACATGTTTTTGAGCAAGAACCCAATTTTTGTAGAGGCTGAAAAAATAAATTTCATGGATTCATGCTTCTTTCCATCTATAAATTTATGAACTGCAAGAAGCCAATACTATCAATCTAGATCATTTAGTAGTTTCTAATGCAATAATCTCCATCAAGGAAACCAATAGAGAAACTGACAGAAGAATGTAATCTGGCATTAGAAACTCCCAACCTTCTCCATCAAGGAAATAAACCAGTAGAAATGGAGACATGTTGGTCAAAATGGTAATTTACTTACCTTCCAGTTCTGTGACATCATAAGAACTGCTAACAGACTACACATGCATCTAATCCTAATAGGACAATCAGAAAATCATGAACTAGAGGACCATGATGATGATATTCTTAAAAATTTCCAGTCTCTTAGCATCCTATAAATACTCATAAACCTAGCAAAAGTGTAAAGAGATACATCTGAGAAGAAACCAAGCCTCAAATGAAAGAAAAGAAAATAAACAATCATCTCCAACCAACAACTTGGAATTTATACAAGTGATCAGAACGAAGGAAATTTAATATTTTAATTAATTGAACTAGTAGTATCTATTAAGAGGGCTGGGAGAAGGCAATAAATTGTGGGATTTGAAACCAAATATCAAGTAAACAAAGGAAGTACAGAATGATTGAATATATTACCCGAATAACCAAGGTTCTCGTCTTTTGGTGTCATGATGAGCATGACCTCTAAAGAATGGATAGAAGGCACCAAGCTGGTACCATCGAACTAACAATTCTGGCTCAAGATTGCCAAAGAAGCCACCAACATCAGCACCTGCATGAAGTATAGTCATTAAAACAGTTTCCTGGATGAGGAGACTGAAGGTATTAAGACAATTTAATAAAATAATGAATCCTACTAACCAGAGAATGATATTCCAGTAAGACCAAGAGTTAAAATCATTGGAACTGAGACCCTGAGGTGATCCCAATCTGCTGAATTATCCCCTGTCCAAATTGCTCCATATCGTTGACTTCCAGGAAAGAATGCTCTTGATAAAACAAAAGGTCGGTCTTTCCCATCCCCTCGTTTTAAAAGCCCATCAGCTGAGGCCATGTGAAAATAATAACCATAGGCATTATGCAACTCCCTGTGTTCCACACCACCATAATGCACAGCATCCCTAGGCATGGTTACCTGGTTTAGAAAAAATAATAATAATAAATTAACTATAACAGGATAACATCTAGTATTAACAAGCCACAACAGTAGCCCCTACATCATATTGAAGCATGGCTGATATTTTTAGCTGTCTTGTAATATTTTGCCTTACAGTTTTAAATGCATGCATCAATGAAAACCCTTGGAGCATATCGCCATTTTATCTATCTAGATTGAGTTCAATAGGTGGCATACTTTTGGATCACTCTCTCCTCATAGATAATTGGGCTAATATACATAAATGATTGCTTCGTGAAATCCATTGGCCATCAATCCTTGTCACTGTATTTTTGTTAGGTCTACATTTTATTAATTTTGTCTCAGTTCAGCATACTATAAAACCATTAGATAGTAAAGTATTGGTCCATATTTCAAGGATTTTGAATTTACTCCTCCCTAATTCATTATAAAGAATATATTATATGCAAACAATGTACACCGGAGGACCTTCTCATGAGCATTAGTAGTTAATTCATCCGTAACTAAGGGGAAAAAGAAACTCATCTGAAAGAGGCATACAACTGCAATAAACACTGAACTAAAAAGGGTGACATACCTCAGGCCCATTGAAGACAGAAGGCTCATTCATGTCGTTCCAAATATACAAGGAAGGAGTTGAACCAACATAATTCTGGAAAGAGAACTTCTCAGCCCACCAGGACCTGATCTCTGGGTTCAGGGTATCAGGGTAAGATGAGGAACCAGGCCAGCACCATCCATCAAAATCGTTGCCCGTGGCATCCTTCACATAATACCCTTTCTTAGTAGCCTCTTTGTGCAGGTGAAAGGACTCATCCCGCTTGATATGAGGATCAACAATTGTAACCATACGCCTACCCTTTGCAGCCAGTTTGTTCTGCATTTCTTCCGGATTGGGGAAGAGCACCCTGTCCCATGTGAAATATTTCTTCCCGTCTGTGTGCTCTATGTCAAGCCACAGAACATCATACGGGATGTCATGTTCATCAAACTTCGAATCAACATGCGCAACATCCTCCTCATCCCTGTAATTCCATCTGCATTGATGGTATGCAGTGGCAAACTGCTGGGGCAATGCAGATGTCCCAGTAACAATAGCATACTGCTTCATGACATCCTTCGGCCCTGGACCCACGAAGAAGAAGGCATCCACAATCCCAGCCTCACTCATCCAGAACGTATCAATCCGACTCTGCGATGAAGGCAGGCTGATCCCCGATTCGGCATCCCAGCCCGATCCCATAACATCAATTTGCATCTCTGCAGCATTCAACCAGAAAAACCCAGATGTCCCATGAGCTTTTCCGTGAGAAATCATGAACGGTATCGACCCATAAAGGCCAAACGGAGAATCATGAAGGTACTCGAAAACATCAAGATTGAAGAGGCGATAAGGTTCGGAGTGGTCGATGCCAGGGCCTCTGGTAGGCTTCAAAGCAAGGCTAGTGGCATGTTCAGGGATCCCATACACAAAACCTGCACCATAAAACGAAACATCGAAGCTGATCGACTGCGGACCATAAGGCCTGGTATCAGTGTGACTTCTGAACCTCTCCTCCCAATCTTCTCCCTCTTTCTTCTTCCTCAACTGCTCGAAATCAAATAGCCCATGCGAATTCATCGACACGACACGATCGCCTCCTTTCCTTCGAACATAAACTTCAAAGGGATCATGCCGAAGGACCGCGTCGTGGTCGTCCGACAGATAAACAATGGAAGAAGGGCCGGAATCGCCATTAATCACCTCCGTCGAGACCCTCTGCAACCAAAGCTTCTTGTTTTCGAACTCGGGTAAAACTACTTCAGGCACTTCGAACCGCTTCTTGGGAGGATCCAAGCTGGGATCCTCATCAATCTTGACCCTCAAGATGCCATTTTGAAAAACAGATAACTTAAAAATCAAGGGTTTTACCGGCTCCTTTTCCTCTTCTTGTTGCTGCTCTTCTCCTTCTCCATGCCCTTTATCGGCTTCCTTCGAGACGAGCTTAGCTATGAGATCACCGTCGTCAATAGCGACGTCAGTAGCCACAAGGGAACAAGATCCAGGCTTCCTAGAACGAGCTCTCTTGCAAAATGGGGTCTGGTTACAGTTCCTGAACTCATCTTTTTTCCAAGATAAAACCGAATTCAGTTGAAGAACCAGTAACAGCACAATCACTAGAAGCAGAGAAGAAGCCCTCATCGTCGTCGTTGTCGTCTTCGCCATTGCTGTCGCCATGGATTAGTTCCAACTTTCAGTTCTTTCATTCGCTTTAACCGGGCATTATTGGTTACTTGATCGATCGATCTTCTCCACAGAGATCAGAAGATCAGAAGATCAGAAGAAAAATATAGAAACTCGATGGAAGCACTTCACCTAAACCTAGAACCAGAAAAATCAACAGACAGCAGCAACGAACAAAACCCGACCCAATCGTCGACTGATAGTGATCAACGGTCTAGATTTATTTTTATCGTATTAAGTTTAGAAGAAAAACATCGTATCACTAAACACTTACGACCGTACGATCAATTAGCGTTATTCCTGGACCACTTTACACCCAATGCATGATTAGACACGTGTACTTCGTACTGCTTTTACCAATGGCAATGTTTTAAAATTCGATCCGGAAAGCGAACCGTTTTTGTCTCCGGGTCGCGGGTAACCGGTTCGACCGTGTCAAATGGGTAACCGGTCTCGTAGTTATCCTCATCATATGGTAATGTCAAAAGACGTTGGTTTTTCTATTTCCACAATTGCCCCTCAGTCATTTATACCCTGATAATGAGAATGGTAGATGGTAATTGGTTAATCGTTAAAATTTTTCCACTTCTCGAGACTTCCTCTTTTTGAAGAGGAGTAGCTGAGTTTAGAGTCAGCTTTATTTCATTGATTTTACATCTCGAAGAGGAAAAAACGCTACCTCCTTCTAATGGAGGGGAATATCATCATTAATAGCTTATGAGGCCTCTTTCGTTTCCTTTTCGAACTAGCAAAGAGATTCTTCAAGCTTCTTTCAGGTAGGGGTGCTCACGGTTTGGTCGTAGGCCTTTTTGGACCGAACCGGTAGTATTGGTTTTTAGAAAATCGGTAACTGGAATCGAATTGAAATCAGTCGGTTAATTGATTGATCGGTTCGGTTAATCGACGGTTTAGTTCATCGTTTTTTCGGTTTTTTTGACTTTATAATATTTATTATAAATATATATATATATATATAATATTATATATTATATATTATATATTATAAATGTATATTTATATAATGCATATTTATTAATTTATAATATATATAATATACATAATATACATAAGTATATAAAAATATATATACAAAAGCATGTATACCGATCGGTTCGGTTAACCATTGATTTTTTAAATTTGTTAACTGAAACCGAACCGGTACCTTCGGTTTTTTAAAATCATCAAACCGACCAATTCGATTAACCAATTTTTTAGTTCAGTTTCGGTCATTTTTTGTTTTCTTTTTTTTTGCTCACCCCTAATAAATTGTAGCCTTAAAGTTTTTACCTTTCTTTCACCTCTCTTCCAAATGCACATATTATATCAAAAACATTCACTGCTTAGGGTTTTTGATTTTTTCAGTTTTTCTACTTACCAATACCATGGAGGCCTTCAAAGGTTCCTATGTGAACGCTTCACACCACCTACACCACTGCTTTAGTAGTAGTTGGCTGAACCACTAATATTCGAAGGTTCTCATTTAGGCCTTCAAAGGTTCCTATATGAATGCTTCACACCACTTGCACCGCTGCTTTAGTAGTAATTGACTGAACCACTTATATTCGAAGGTTCTCATTTACATTAGCTACATTTCTTTCTTCCTTTCTTGGTCCTTGCTTAATAGTAGTTTAATGAACCACTTATATTTTAATCTTATAGTAATATATGTAGATCTATATTTAATTTGTGAGTTGCATTTTCCTTCCTCTTGGCTTATAAGGATGCAATGATGACAAAATTTTCTATTAGTCTCTTCTCCCCAAATATAAGTGTATCTATTTTGAAAGGAGATTATTTAGTGTCTTTCTTGCATTGATGGAGGTGGATGGCATGGTGGTGAAGATTATTTAATGTCCTTCTTCTTTTTCTTCTTTGGATGTATCCTATATTGAAGTTGTTACACTTGCACACTACAGAATCCATGATCACAAGCAATTCATTTATTGATCTTAAAAATAATGAAAACTAGACAGTCTATAATGTGGCTAAAGAAGTGAAAAATATAGATTTATTAAGAATATATAAAGAAGTAATAGTTGGGGATGAACAACTGAATGGAGATAAAACTCTGCAATGTTTAACTAAGACCAATAGTGTTTTTATTAACCATGTCAACAAGTGTACTTATTTCAAGATAAGTGTTGAAATTTATGGTTTCAATTGGCATATTTTCTTTTTTGATCACATATGAAGTGAATGCCACATAAGGAAACACAAAGTTATTAATATGCGAGTAGCTAATAAACTAAGAATGACCCGCTTTTAAGAAAGCGGAGTGGGACCTGCAAATGGAGGAGCAAGTTCAGGCGCCTGCTAGGGCACTACAATGTGTCAGGTTGCTCAAAGCCCAAGAGCATGCAAAGAAAGCCCCAACTCTAAACCAAATAAGGGTACCAATCCTATAGTTTTCATCACTTGCTCAGTGTACCCACTTTCGTCGAGTGCCCCGCCCAATTCTATCAGCATGGCTGTGGTGGCAAAGATTGCCCGCTCATCAGCATCTTGTGGTTGCACCTTTCTACTCCCCTCTCCTCGGGTACTAGTGGTGGCATACTCTCCTGATCGAGCTCTAAACCTAAACTCTTGCGCAAGGCAATAAGGGTTCGGCTTACAACATACAAAGCAACCTATAACACTTTGTTGTCCTTGCCTATGAGATTGTTGGCCTCTTGGGTTGCCATGAAGGGTCATGTTGTGTAGGTATCTTTAGTTGTGGTTGGTTTATTATTAACTAAGAGTCCCGGTGGGATTTGGATTGGGATCCGGGAGCCCGAATATAGTTGTCTGACTTAGTCAATCCTTCCTTCTTTCCTCTTTCTTTCATGGGTAGGTAAGTCTGTCCTTTTCGGTCTTGTTGTTGGTTGGTCTTTCTTGTAGGTCTTTGTGTATCAATCTTGACACGGGAGTACTGAACTCCACTCACTCAAGACAAAGCATAGAATTCATTGAGCTAGCTGATTCAAGTGATTCAGTTAATAGGAAAAGTCAGTAAGAAAGTCAGATGCCTCGTCTGTTGGCCGAAACATTTCCTTTGAATAGATGCCACATAAAGAAAGAGTGAGCACTCACTCTTAACTTTACAACCCCCCCCCCCCATTTTGTTGCGAAATCTCATCTGACCTCTGCCCCTATTGGGATTTGAAACATGGAGGCAATTTTAGCACGAGTATCTGCTAGTCAGTTATTGCCTCGAGGTAACCTAATGAAGGTTATTTGCTTGAATGAATCCCTTTTTCTTGAACCATTTCTTTTATGAGATGGCTTTCACTTTTCAGTACTCAACGATAATTTGGAAAGCCTGTGCCCATTCATGTGTGGACCGCAGACTCCTTCATGGCCTAGATTATCTTCTCTTTGGTCTCCCTTTCATCTATACATCTCAACAGAATGTTGTTGGTTGACCTTTTTATACAACCTATCCCCACAGATTACGAATTGCATGGCTAGTCTCTAAATGCTCCACCGGTCTCTTAGTCTAGTGGGGGAGTGAAGGTGAAGGAGAGGGCTGGAAAAAGAGAGCAGTGGGGAAGAAGGAAGGAAGTAGAAATACTCATAAAACTAGAAAGAAGTAGTCAAATGACAAGTGCCTAAAAGAGAAAGAATGATATTGACCATATGTGGGCCAAGAAGAAAGAGTCAAGTGCTAGAACGAATGGGTAGTGCTATAAACAATAGTTGCCTAAAGCTATGAGTTGAGAAAGATTTTTATTTGACAAATAGCTTACCCACTTTCATGGGAAGGGTCGCTTCGCTCGGAGAGTGAAGGGGAAGGAGAGGACAAGTTCAACCTAGAGAGTAGGAAGTGGAATTAAAACAATGGATTCAGAAGCATCAACCCTCTCTTGCTTGGAAGAATCGAAATACATCAAAATGGTACCAGTCGTACTTAATAATAGAAGGATTTGGAAGAAGCATGTAGAATTGACCCTCCTAAAAAGATTATTCCAAAATAAATGGGAAATAGTTAGGAGAGGTGCGCCAGCGGCGAGCAGAAGCAAGGTTATTAGATACCAAAGGAAACCCCAACCAGAACCACACATGCAAGTTTCCCTACTCCGAAGGTAGAGGGATCCCTCCTGAACCTAACACACTCTGTTGAAATAAAGAATCGCTCCTTTCTTCTTTGGTTGGGTTTAAACTGAAGTTCTCGATTAAACTGAACATTCAACTTGATCCCGGATCATTTGTTGTTTTCGCTCAAACTTGAAGTTCACCGATAGAAGACAAAATCGTATGAGCCCATTTAAAAGTGGTGAACTTGAAGTTCACCAGTAGAACGAAGTCGACAATTGACATATCTCTATTGAAGTCACTGATTAACTCATTTAAAAGTGTTGGCCCTGATCCAATTCCCTAGCGGGAATTTCCGAAAAAGTATAGGTTATGGATTTTTCGTGTAAGTATTCAAGGAGGGAGAGCAATACACTCATTAAAACACCCTTAGGCATACATAATGTCTATTTGCTCTAAATATCATGCATCTAGAAAGGTATTATTTGGTATAGAGAGACTTTCAGGCAGAACCTGGGCTAGACTTTGGTTGGGCAATGATAAGCTGATTCGCTTCTAGGATGATGTTTGGTCGTGCCAGACTACATTCAATTCACAAGGTTTTCATGACCTCAAAGTGATGGACTACATTCATTATGAAGGAGAATAAATGATTTCTCTCCCTATTCAACTTTCCACCATCAGCCCACTATAAATAGATCATTGGGAACGATGGAAAGTGAATTGTTTCGGTTGAAGCCCTCCGGGTCTTTTGACGAAGTTAAGCTGTTCAGTGCCTCTAGTTTATGCATTCGAATGACTCTTTCATACAGTGTGCAGAGTGAACGGTTCCTTTTGGGTGTTGTTGAATTTATTTCTGACTTTTCAGCCGTGTGTTTGCTTTCATAAGAGGAGCTTGGGCGTGCCAATTGAAATAACTAAAATCTAAAAAGAGGGCTAATGTAGAGATTTGYGGATTTGAACCTAAAGTGCAGTGAGGAGGCACAAGGGCCACCACTCACATTGTGACCGCAACATGATATCATCATATCCCTCCCTATGATTGAGAAGCACACTTAGGGTCTATTAATGCCCAGGTTTCAATCTTAGAACTTCTTAAGACCTCCCCAAAACATGCACACTCTGAATCCATTCTATCACATATCTCTATCTCTCATTTTCAGAGGGTGCTCCCTTCCTTGGTACCAAAATGAAGCACTCTGCATTAACAAGGAAGATTCGATTCCCCACTTTTAGATGGGTGTATTGGAATGTGGTCCTCGATCTCATCCTCCAATCGCATACCTCTTGATTGTAGGGAACTATGAATATGGAGGGGCCAAAAGGTATAAATCTTTCATTTCCTTTGCTTCCTTCTTACATCCTCTTTCTTTGAGGGATGCCACAAAAATCAACAAGATATTACTTCATGCTTAGAAAAATCATCCTCTGTCTCTCTCTTCATATTATGCATCTAAAACCTTTAAACAGGGCTTGTAATTCAAGTGCCCACCAAGTTTATGCAGTATTATTGTGTTTGGGTTGCAGCTGAAACAAAATTCACAAATCTACAACTTTTAAGATTTTACAATATGGTTTACAAATCTGTAACTTTTAAGATTTTACAATATGTGTCTAGAAAGGGCCACTCTACCATTTTAATGGATTTTAGAATTGGGAGAGAGACAGTAGCAGAATTTGATTTCATTTCTACAATTGAAAATTGTTTCTTCTTTTCCTTTAAGTAGACTGACAATAAAGGTATGCTTGAAACTGGTTCTCTACACTCAAATGTATATATTTAAATTTTTAGTTGAACTACAGTTCTTTGCACTCTAGATTGTCTAGTTAATGTATTGTTTTGGAATTTATTTATATGCTACTTTTTTGTGCTTTTGGTCCAGATTGGCCAATTTTTTGGGGGCAGAAGTAAAGCATAGAAAGTAGAGAACCATAGAGCTGAAAACAACAGAGATGAAATGATTTGGTGTTTATTCTTAAATTAGTAGTTATTCTATCCAATGTTGTCAATGGCAAAGAGTTCAATTATCAAAGTTTTAGCCAAGAGGTTATATTTTAGTATGCTTTGTGTACATAAGTGAAGACGAAACTTGAAATCTCTTCAATTGATTGAAGTCAAGTTTGATTCTGACTCTTAACTTGCTAATGGAACCAAATCAAACTCATAAGACAAGAGCCTTTTTTTTATAAATAAGACAAGAACCATTTCATAAATTTATTTCTGTTTAAAGGGAATGAGATTTTATGAGCATTGAGAATACTATGGCAGTGACTAAATAGTAGTATTAGGAGAATGGACAAATTAACAAATGGGTTATTGTAATTTGTCAAAAGAACCCCAATATTTCTATTCAAGGATATTTGTGTAGAGATACACTGCCATTTTTTTTCTCAATCATAAGCTAATAGATGAAGGATATTAATTTAGATACATTGCCAATATTTTTGTTGCAGGATATTAGTTTATGAATTATTGGCTATTGTTGTTCTTTTGGCAACGATGTATTGCTTATTGTTGTTTGTCCTTGACCTTTTATTCCTGCATTGAGAAAAAGGGAGGGAGGGAAGCAAAGGTGAGGGTTTTCCACTTCTACCCATTGATCACTGTAAGAGATGAGGATTGTTGCAATCCAAAATACCTTGTTTTTTAGGGTAGTGGAAGAAGAGGAGATTAGAGGTGTAAAACGAGACGTGCTAGGCTGGCACAACACAGCCCATGGGCAGCCTGCGCAAGGTGCGGGCCGTGCCACCCTCCCAGTGATAACTTGGGGGGTTGACCCAGTACGGTCCATGGCCCAAGCCCGTGCGGTGCATCGGACCAAAGCTATTTATTTAAAAAAAAATGACAAAAAAACTTAAAATTTTAATTTTATATGAATTTTGATGTATAAAATTGCTTATATATACAATAATTAAATAAATTAGTATAATAAAATTAAAAAAATCATTTATTTTATTAATATATTATTATATAATTATAATTTATATAATATTATATAATATATAAATAATATATACGGGTCATGTTGTAGGCTGGTCCGCGGGGACCTAAAACCCTAGACCCAGCATGGCCCACACGATTGTGCCAGGCTTGACACGGCCCACAGATTGTCATGCCGGGCCACGGGTGGCATGACCCGTTTTGCACCTCTAGAGGAGATAAGGGTTTTCCTCTTTTCCCATTGATCAATGGTGGCCATCTTGGCATTGTGGCCATGGCTGGAATAGTTTCCCTCGTGGCTATAGACTCTGTAAAAAGAACTTGATGGGGAAAGTAGTTAAATAGTCATTAGAAAAGAAGATGCATGGGATTGAGCTATATTTTTTGGTTAGAAAAGAGGATGAAGAAAATACATACCGACCTGATATTGTATTCTTTATTTTCTCGTGGATGGTCAATCATGGTTTTTATAAGCAACATTATAAAAATAAGTCCAAATTTTCAAGCATTAATTAATTCAATTCAATTAATGCTTCTCCTCAGTAAATTCATGGCATAACCAACATCCTTTCCATATTTTTTCCTTAGTGAATTTGAATAAGCTTATTCTCCTTGCCTCACACTAGGTTTCATTTCATGGCTGTGCTTGAGAACCCAGGGGATGTTGTAAGAAGGCTCTATATTGTAATCTTTTTGTTTAGATTATTCAGAATATTCATTTTTTTTTCATCAGATATTGACTTTATGCTTTCATATGATGCTAGAAAAACACGATAGAAAAAGATTAGCTAATTTTATTATTTTGCTTAAGACTTTGTGGAACATCTTGCATTTTGCTGTAAACAAAGCTACCTTGAAACATTAATCAACAAAGTTGAATGGCTGTTGAGGCAATGGGTGGGCCATGGGCGTACTTGGGACTTCTTCTGAAATCACATGTGATGAATTCAGGGACCACTGGAAGAGGCATTCATGTTCATTCAATAAAATTTACAGGATTTTTTCTCAAAAAATCATTTTATTGAAGAAACTCATGCTTAAATTGGTTTAAGGTATTTTCGGTGCTAATTTGTATAAGATATTTTTGGTGGATTGGGTTCTCTTGTACAATCCCTTGGCACTAATTTCAGTTCAATAACTGGCTGCACTATGATTAGTGTTTCAGTCTTACTTTAGGCTTTTTTTTTGTTCGTGATCAAAAGTAACTTTAAGAAGAAAATGGTTGTTTGTTTCCTCTTATCTCTTATCTCTTAAAGTGGAATCTTACATTTTTTTTTGTTTTCCAATGATACCCCCAAAACCCAAAACACTTCTCCCTCCTTATAACTCAAGGGCCTCATATGCAATAATAATAATAATAATTATAATTAAAAGTTAATTAATAATTAATAATTAATAATTAATCATTAAATAATAATAATAATATTTATAATGAACTATTAATTAACACAAATTATTTATTAATAATTATTAATTTTGATTAAATAATTATTGATCATTATAATAATTTTTAATATTATTTTTTATTGAATTACATAGACAAACAAAAAATTTCATATATGGTGTCAAAATGGACATTTGACAAATTTCAGAATTCAGAATTCAGAACAAAATGCTTTGCATGGTGGGACCATGGAGAATTGAGACACTTTTCTTGATGCAGTTTGCCAATGAGATGGCTGATTCACTAGTCAAGGAGGATGTAAACATAAAGGGGTTGGTGTGTGGTGAATATCCTTTCCAATAATAAATTACTTCTTTTTCTGTATTTTGGATAACCAATATTAGGGCTGCCAATTGGATTGGATTTGGTCCAATATGATCCAATCCAATCCAATACAAGTTCATATACAAATGGACTGGACTCAATCCAATCCATTTAAATGTAAATGGACTAGGATCCAATCCAATCCAAACTGAATGAATTATCAAAAATTTTATAAAAAAACCCAGAAAATATAAAGATTACAAAAATATACTAAAATGAGGAAAATCTGAAACATTGAAATCATAACTTCCTCACAAAATGTTTCCTTAAATTCTTTCTTTTTACAAATCAACAACCTTGTAACTGTAGCTAATTTTAATCATAGTTTAAAATGTCCCTAATTTCCCTAATATTTCCACAACATATTTCCATTTCAATGGGCAACAATACGAAAATTTATTGGAATTGACATTTCCTCAATAAACACTATTAGCACCATATGGAGTACAAGAGATAGTTTCCATGGCATTCCATCTCCACTTCAATGGGTAGCAACATGAAAATTTTCTAGAATTGACACATTCCCCAATTAACACTACCAATACTACGTGGAGTCCAAGAGTTAGTATTATAACATAGGTTGGGGAAATTTGTAGGTATGTGAACTAACAATGTCATTGTTCGCCTAACTTACATGACTGCCTCTTAGGGCTAGCTCAATATTCATTTTAAACATGAAGTCAAATATTGGTTTTTTGTTACAACCATTTACATTTTCTAGAACATCTAAATCTTAAGGTTTATAGGGCAACTTGAGAAAGTATTCTTTTGTCTATAACCTTAATGTCTTAGCTTTGTTTAATGATTTGAAACAAAATAATAATTTAAAAAGGTGTGCCTATGCTTCTTTTATCATTTCATAAAATATCATTCTATATTTTGCATATTTTACAATGTTTCCACCATGCCTATTAAGTTTTACAATATTTCCATATGATATTTCCGGCATGTTTCTTATATTTGCATGACTAACATTTCCACCGATATTGACATTTTAAACCTTGGTTTTATATCCGAACAAAGATTTTCATAGTTGCAGGTGGAGATCCCTCGCTTGTCAAATAGTACTGTCAAGAAGGGTGAATCATATTGAACATAGATTATCAAGCTTCTTGATCTCAGCAATAAGCTTTTTCTTGCAAAATTTCCCCCACATATGCCCTATCAACTAGTACCTGAAAATACAAAAAGGATAGCTCGTGAAAATGTTAACCAATAACAAGTGTTCATATAATGTAGTTGTACTCTTCATAGAAAGCAATATAGATGGAACACAGGAAACACAAGAAACACAACACTTCATACTTATTCGCAAGCTGGGGCAAATGTAATCAATCCTTTAAAGCTAACTGAATTCATTCAGAATTAATTTTGTTTTTCCTGGACTGTATTGTCCAACCTGGACTGGATTGGACTGGTTCAATTCAATGGACCGAATATTTGTTGAACCTGGACGGGATTGAACTGGTCCAATTCAATGGACCAAATATTGACGAATTTTCATTAGTTAATGTACACCTTAATATAAAGGTGACAAGTGTAGGAGATCCCTACTGCTCCTTTGTGACTATTTACATATGTATGAGTGGGCATCTATCACAGACTGAATGAAAGTGTACAAGTATTAAGAAAGAAAGTGTAAGAGATTCTGAGTCCGGGGGGAAGATCTCAATCACATGGGCAAATACTCCTGATTTTAGCCGAAGAAATCATTGAAAGGTAAATTGTAACTGCTGTTAACTGATGAATGAATAATAGAGTCAGCCTTAACTCTCAAAAAAAAAAAAATCTAATTGTAGACAACAGATCCAGATCCCTACTTATAAGCGTGGATGATCATCACGGCTAAGTGTGTAGCACAAATCATTAGAAGACAAGTTTGCTAAGAAAGAGGTGTAGTGACAGCCTGGCAGGAGAGAACAAACTCTTCATGGTCCTTCTTCCTCATTCATTACTTTTAAGGTTGATTAAGACCCTAATGAGCATGTATAGTAGGACATTTTGTGCACATGCAATTAATGGATCCTACCTTGAAAATTTCAATCTTTAAAGGTCAAACCCATTAGAGAACCCTAGTCATCTGATTTTCAGAATCAAATCTAAATTCAAGCATGTACAGAAATTAGAAATTTGTAAATATCAATTTTGCAGCATCAGATACTTAACTCAGATCAACTAAAGCCTTATGGCAACTATTTGGGATTGGCTAATCACATTTTGTTTAACATCCTACTCTATAGAAGGATTTTTAGTAGGTGAATCAGATATTTAGTTCATCAAATATGAACAAAAATTTAGAATTTAGAGGTATCTACATCATAGTAAATAGAGTTACAGCTTGCAAGGTTATAAGATTACCAAGAACAAAACTATTGCATAGTACTTGAGAACTTCAAGATTCATCCGAACATTGTCTAAGCTCCTAAAAACCATTAGAGAAAGGAGTTAGTTTCAACAACTCAATATTTGAGCTTATAACAAAAGGAAGTAAGAAACTATATCTGAAAAGCCTAGAAGTGTCCAAGCCAATTCAGAAAGCATCTATGAGTATTTTGATGATTACATGGGTTTAGCAGATGAAGAACTGGTCTTATAGTTGAGATGATTACTAGAGAAGTTTAAATGGCACAGGAATATTTCATATGGAAACTTACTTTGGGGCAGAAAATGGACTCCCCATGTTCTTATCTCCACCCTCGAAATCAAATTTCAGCCTAAAACACTTTATATAATGTGTTCAAAATAAACCCTTTTGTGGGTAACTTTAGAATTACAAGATTGAAAGTTCAATGGCTATGGAAAGCCCTGATAAAAGGACTCCCCATGTTGAGGATGCTGGGTAGATGGTTTTGGTTTATGGGTGCAATTCAGCCAGCACCATCCCTTGATAGATTCTTTTTTACCTCCTTCTTGCAGAGTTGTTAAGTAGCATACAGTGAACAAAGGGGCAAATCACAGCAGATCTGATTTCAACCACAGATCCCTAATCCCTTACCAATTTAAATTGAAATATTTGTTGTTAAAGACAAGGTTGGTCAAGCGAGTCCAAGTTTGGATTGTATGGACATTGACAGCTTCATCACAAGCACAGCAGTAAGGGGAGAGAGAGAGAGAGAGAGAGAGAGAGAGAGAGAGGCAGACTCACACTCACAGAGATCACTATCTGAGTGCAGTTTCAAATTGGTTGCTGCAAATTCATGTATAAGATTTGGGGCTGATCTAATTATCCAAATAAGGTGTCATATATAAGATTTCTGTGTCCCCTAAAATCCATTTCCATGCAGACCATAATAATACAGTTGCATCCAACAAGAGATATTATCCAACTCACCAACCAAAACCTCTATGACACTACCACATTAACTAGGAGCATGGCGGATTCAGGTTAACACCAAAAGCATGCTGAAGCTGTTGATGAGATCCCTATTGATATTCCCTGGTTTATGGGTCCTGTAGATTGTAATGTATCCCTAGACCCAGACTAATGCAGTGCTGCTTTGCCAAATTTCCAGTACTTAAAAAAAAGCTTTCAACTGTTGAGGCAAAGTCCAACAAGCAAATCCTAGAAGAAATTAAATGGGCCCATGCCCATACCCCTCCCAAGTAACTCATCATGGGAACCTAGCCTGCTTGGTGCTTACCCTGTGGAAATCCATCAACTGTATTATCTAGTTTGACTAAGAATAATTGTAATGACTTGGCTGATGCATTGGCAAACTAATTAGTGATGCAATCAATCTGATTCTCAACTGCTTAGTGCTTATGTATACTGGATCTGAGTTCAGACAAGTGCAATGCAAGGGTCATGAATCAGAGTGAAAACAAGATTCATAAAATCATGAGGTGATAGAAATTATGCTTTATGCAGAAGGATGTACAAGGCACTGATATTAGAATGATGACAAACAGGTAATTTATTCAGTCCAGAATTATGACGTTTGAGGTAAGTAATTCATATAGGATCCTTTTACTTGGCAAAAGAGAGACAACATGTTCAGTATATCTATATCGTTATCTTTCTCATGCTTGTATATATCATCAAGACAATTTGGAACAAAGAGAACAGGTAACACTCTAGAGCCACCAACGTCTAATTACTGGTCTCTCTCTCTCTCTCTCATGATCTTGGAAATTAGTGTCGCTCAGCATGGAAAAGGCTCAATTATGAAATTTATAGGCTTACAGAAACTAGAGTTTCCCCGCATAAACAGAATAAGCTCATCAATTTCCGTACACCCTAAATCAAGATAATCTTCTGTCAACTCTAGAACCATCGATAATATAAAAGCATGACCGTGACTGTGGAAAAAATACCCTAAATCTATAATACACAAAAGAAATCATGATAACCAAGAAAGTTTCTCCACAATTTAATCACAGAAATGGAATTTTCTGAAGGGGAGTAGACTATAAATTGGCCTAAAAAACAATATAGTAAATCAATCAAAACTGCGGAAACTTCAAGATCACTGCTGCAGAACTCACCATTCTGGCCAAAGAAAGTGAAAAAAGAGGAGTCCCAACGAGCATGAGCCACCAGTTCATCAACCACGTTTCCGTACCCTAAGGGCAAACCATTGTGATAGGCCCCCAATTAATTTTACGTATGCCAGGAAGGGGAAAGGTCAGCTTTCGGCCAAGGGGGGMAATAATTGAACATGGGGGAACTTATGGCTGGAGGGAATAAGGAGAGTTTTGTAGCATTTATAGCTTGCCAGTTGGGAATAAGAAGAGTAGCATTTAAAGCTTGTCAGTTGGGAATAAGAAGAGTAGCATTTATAGCTTATCAGTTGGGAATAAGAAGAGTAGCATTTATAGCTTGTCAGTTGGGAATAAGAAGAGTGTGGGGCATTTATAAGTTGGCCAGCTGAGCATTTATTATGGAAGGCAGTTGTGCTGTAAGATGTGTATAAGAAGGGGCTTTGGGGGATGGAGGAGGCAGACTTTTGTTGAGTACAGAATTCTGAGAGTGCTTGGGAGAGCCGGCGATCTCTCGAAGAACCGACCTACTGTAAATGATCTTCTTTTCTTCTGAATGAATATCAGTTCCCTGTTGATGTGCTAGTGGTTTGGATTCTTCTGTGAGTCTATGAACTGCGTGTCAAATTTCTGGGTCATATCAGTGGTATCAGAGCATGTCTTTCCTCGGCCATGGTGACAGCTAAGGAAGTGGCATCGCAGGTGGAGGGTTTCGAAGAACGCCTGTCTTCTCTGCATTTTGGATTTCGTTTGGAGATGGATGGCTTACGCAATGAGTTTCAGCGACTCGATACAGATAAGGTAGCTGCTGGACTTTCGAAGATCTCATCCCTAGAGAACTCAGTACAATCTCTGGAAGGAGGTGTTCAAGATCTGGTGAGACGATTTGATTTGTTGCTTCAGCAACAGGCCTATTCAGCTCCTTTGTCTGCAACTGACATTGCTCCTCCTTTAGTCACATCGAGTCGTGCGGCTGACAAAGGGAAGAGTGCAGCTTTCCCAACGTCTTCTTCAATGTCAGTGCCGGAACATACTTCTGATCCACTTCCTCGGAAGTTGGAGTTGCCCATTTTTTATGGGGAAAATCCAGACGGCTGGCTTTTTCGCGCAGAGCGCTATTTTGAGATTAATGGCTTGCTTCCGGCGGAATGTCTGCGGGCGGCAGTGGTCTGTTTAGAGGGTGATGCACTGGTTTGGTATTATTGGGAGGATGGTAGGCGACCTTTTCGTAGTTGGGCAGAATTCAAGGAACTCCTCCTTGAACGTTTCCGATCAACTCAGGAGGGAAACTTGCAAGAGCAGCTTCTATCATTATGTCAATCCACTACTGTCAAGGAATATCGTCGCCATTTCGAGGTGCTTTCTGCCCCCTTACGTGACCTACCAGAATCAGTCCTTGAAGCAGCCTTTGTGAATGGGTTGCACCCAGATATCCAGACCGAACTCCGACAGATGGAACCCGTTGGGCTGTTTAGAAAAATGGTTGCAGCCCAGAAAATTGAGGAAAAGAATCAGGCCTTATGGGCCTATCAATCAAGTTCATTTCCTCGTGGGCCCGCAACGTCCCTCTCTGGAATCCACTTTAACTCACGGGTTTCGCAAGTGACTACTTCTGCTGTCACCCGACCTGCACGTCCCGCAATTTCTCCTCCTTCATCAGCCCCTATTATTAAGGCCCCGCCTCCTGCTTTCAAAAAGATGACTGACAAGGAGATGCAGCAGAAACGTGCGAAGGGTCTATGCTTCCGTTGCGACGAGAAATACAGCCCGGGACATCGTTGTGCTCAGAAATCACTTCAGGTTTTATGGGTTCAAGATGATGTGGAGGAAATTGCTTCTGATGCGTCTAATTGGGACTGCACTTCCGGGGACACTGAAATTGCTCCGGCTCCAGAATCAGCCGCACTTTGTGTTTCGTCTCTTGTTGGGTTGTGTGCGGCAAATTCCCTTAAGGTGCGTGGACGCATTTTGTCACGTGAGGTGGTCATATTGGTAGACTCGGGTGCATCCCACTATCTCCGAAACTTTAGTGGAAGAATTGAAATTACCCGCACCCCTACACACGAATTTGGAGTTCAGATGGGAAATGATGATGAGGTGAGAACTTCCGGAGTCTGCCGTCAGGTTTGCCTCAACTTACCTGAATTGGATGTCATTGCTGATTTCTTTCCCTTAAAGTTGGGTTCTATGGATGCCATTCTTGGTTTTCCTTGGTTAGCATCCCTCAGGGACTCAGTGATGAATTGGGGCAACATGTCTATGAAGCTCAATTTGGGAGGTGTCCAGGTAAAGTTGCAGGGTGACCCTTCTCTCTGTTCCTCTCAGGTATCTTTGCATGCTATGATGCGTAACTTACAACATGAGGGACAAGGGGTTTTGTTAGAATTAAAACAATTGCAGATAGTGGATTCTCCGTTGAACTCTGTCTTGCCTACATCCCCGCCAATCTTCGCTTTACTAGATGAGATCAAAGATGTTTTTGACATGCCTACGAACTTACCCCCTACACGGGCTATGGAACATGCTATTGTCTTGCAGGAGGGCACTTCTCCTATCTCTGTTCGTCCTTACAGATATCCTCAATTCCAGAAAGATGAAATTGAACGCCTTGTCTCTGAGATGCTGGCTGCGGGTATTATTCAGCCGAGTACAAGCCCCTACTTGAGCCCGGTCCTTTTAGTCAAGAAGAAAGACGGAAGTTGGCGTTTTTGTGTGGATTACAAAGCCCTTACCCGTGCTACGGTTCCGGATAAATTCCCCATTCCGGTTATCAAAGAACTTCTCGATGAGCTCCATGGTGCTTCTATTTTTCAGCAAAATTGATCTTAAATCGGGCTACCACCAGATTCGGGTCCGCAATGAGGACATTCCCAAGACTGCATTTTGCACCCACGAGGGCCATTACGAATTCCTTGTCATGCCCTTCGGTCTCACCAATGCGCCCTTGACCTTCCAGTCATTAATGAATACGGTATTCCATGATTTCCTCCGTCGCTTTATGCTGGTATTTTTTTATGATATTCTGGTTTACAGTGCTTCTGAAGCTGCCCATTTGGATCACCTTTGACAGGTCTTCACTATATTGCGCACCCACCGTCTATTTGCCAACTCAAAGAAATGTATCTTTGCTCAGCCTAGCATTGAGTACCTGGTCATATTATTAGCGCGGCTGGTGTTTCTGCCGATCCTTCTAAAATCCAGGCCATGGTTGACTGGCCTCAACCATCTTCACTTAAATCTCTTCGCGGTTTTCTGGGACTTACAGGCTATTATCGTCGTTTTGTGCATAACTACAGTAAAATAGCATGGCCATTGACGCAACAGCTTAAAAAGGATGCTTTCTCATGGAATGTGGAGGCTGAGAATGCATTTAAGGAGTTGAAACGGGCTATGACAACCGTACCTGTGTTGGCCCTTCCAAATTTTTCCCAGCCCTTCTTGATCGAGACGGATGCATCCGGTGTAGGTCTCAGGGCGGTATTAATGCAGAATAATCGGCCTATAGCTTTTTATAGCCACAAGCTTAGCCTGTCTGCACAGTCAAAATCTGTCTACAAGCGGGAATTAATGGCCATTGTCTTTGCCATTAAAAAATGGCACCCCTATCTTCTTGGAAGACGCTTTATTGTTCGGACCGACCAGCATAGTCTCAAGTATCTGTTGGACCAGCAGATTGTCGAAGGTGAGCATCATAAGTGGCTTCTTAAGCTTATGAATTATGACTTTGAGATTCAGTACAAACCGGGTGCCGATAATACCATGGCTGACACCTTATCCAGAGTTCCTACTGAAATGCACTTAAACTCTCTTACAGTCCCTATTTTCCTTGATTTTGATGACCTTAAGGAGCAAGTTGATGCTGATCCTTTCTTGGCCCCCATCAAGCATGCCATACAGCATGATCCGGCGTCCTATCCCACCTATTCTTTAGTTGGAGAACACCTACGTTATCATGGTAAATTGGTTATGCCGGCTTCTTCCCCATTTATTCCCCTCTTACTGAAGGAGTTTCATTCGGGAGTTGTGGGAGGTCGCGCGGGTATCCGCCAGACATATAGGCGAATAGCAGCTGAATTTTACTGGCGGGGGATCAAGCATTCTGTCAAGGAGTTTGTGCAGGCCTGCGATGTGTGTCAACGCAGTAAATATGAAGCCATGTCCCCCGCTGGCCTTTTACAATCTTTACCCGTACCTGAACAGATCTAGAAGGATATTGCTATGGACTTTATTGAGGCTCTTCCTAAGTCAAAGGGGTTTGACACAATTATGGTGGTGGTCGATCGTCTCTCCAAGTATGCCCATTTTATCCCTCTTAGCTCTCACGGTTGATCAGGCCTTCCTGCACAACATAGTCCGTTTACATGGCATTCCCCGCTCGATTGTATCTGATCGTGATAAAGTCTTTATGAGCTTCTTCTGACACGAGCTTTTTACCCTGCAGGGTTCAGAATTGCGTCGTAGTTCAGCTTACCATCCTTAGACAGATGGACAGTCGGAGGTGGTTAATCACTGTTTGGAGACTTATTTGAGGTGCTTTGCAGCTGATTCCCCCTTCCGCTGGTCTTCTTGGATATCGTGGGCAGAATACAGCTATAAACCTCTTTTCACACTGCTGCTAGCATGACACCTTTCAAGGTGGTTTATGGGCGCGATCCTCCTCCATTAATCCGCTATGAGCTTGGCTCTACGACTAATGCTGATGTTGAAGCTGTTCTCCTTTAGTGAGATGCTATACTTAGGGAGTTGCGTGCTCATCTACACCGTGCACAACAAAAGATGAAAGACTCGACTGATGTGAGCCGCCGTGATGTTAATTTTGAGGTTGGAGATTCGGCATATGTGCGAGTGCGACCTTATCGCCAGCAGTCTCTAGCTTGTCGAGCCAATGAAAAGCTTGCCCCTCGATTTTATGGACCATTTGCTATTGTGGAAAGAATTGGCACTGTCGCTTATAAACTTCAACTTCCTCTAGAGGCAAGGATTCATCCTGTTTTTCATGTCTCACAACTCAAGAAGGCAATTGGCAATCATATCTCTTCTCCTGTGATTCCTTTCACTCTGTCAGCTGATATGGAAATGCTGGTGGAACCGGCGGCCGTTCGAGGGGTGCGTCCATCCACTATGCCTGGAGTTACTGGTTCAGAAGTGCTTATCCATTGGCAGGACCTGCTTGATTTTGAAGATTCATGGGAGCCTTTTGACTTACTTCGCAACCAATTTCCTCATTTCAACCTTGCAGACAAGGTTAGACTTTGGGCGGCGGGTAATGATAGGCCCCCA